GTCGACTGACAGGAATTGAACGCACTTTATCTGGAATTTTTCTGACATCTCCTTGTCACTTTTTCCGAGGGTAACATAATCAAAATGACAGCTGTCAATTTTTTTGACAGGTGCAAAAATTTTAAAAAAATATTTTACATGTATTAAAACTTTTAAAAAACGTAATTTTGAAAAATTCCAAAAATTAAAAAAAATTGACAGATGTCAAATGTCAAACTTGATATCGACTAAGTCGACTGGCAGGAATCGAACGCACTTTATATCGAATTTTTCTGACATCTCCTTGTCACTTTTTTCGAGGGTTACATGGTCAAAATGACAGCTGTCAATTTTTTTGACAGGTGCAAAAATTTTAAAAAAATGTTTTACATATATTAAAACTTTTAAAAAACGTAAGTTTGAAAAATTCCAAAAATTAAAAAAAATTGACAGATGTCAAATGTCAAACTTGATACCGACTAAGTCGACTGACAGGAATCGAACGCACTTTATCTCGAATTTTTCTGACATCTCCTTGTCACTTTTTCCGAGGGTAACATAATCAAAATGACAGCTGTCAATTTTTTTGACAGGTGCAAAAATTTTAAAAAAATATTTTACATGTATTAATGACCGTTTGCAGCGACCATTTTAAGCGAGGTTTAACAATAATCAACGTTTAAAAGTGACGTTTTTACATGTAAAAATGTCTCTTTAAACGTTGACTATTGTTAAACCTCCCTTAAAATGGTCGGTGCAAACGCCCATGAAACTTTTAAAAAACGTAATTTTGAAAAATTCCAAAAATTAAAAAAAATTGACAGATGTCAAATGTCAAACTTGATATCGACCAAGTCCACTGGCAGGAATCGAACGCACTTTATCTCGAATTTTTCTGACATCTCCTTGTCACTTTTTCCGAGGGTAACATAATCAAAATGACAGCTGTCAATTTTTTTGACAGGTGCAAAAATTTTAAAAAAATATTTTACATGTATTAAAACTTTTAAAAAACGTAATTTTGAAAAATTCCAAAAATTAAAAAAAATTGACAGATGTCAAATGTCAAACTTGATATCGACTAAGTCGACTGACAGGAATTGAACGCACTTTATCTGGAATTTTTCTGACATCTCCTTGTCACTTTTTCCGAGGGTAACATAATCAAAATGACAGCTGTCAATTTTTTTGACAGGTGCAAAAATTTTAAAAAAATATTTTACATGTATTAAAACTTTTAAAAAACGTAATTTTGAAAAATTCCAAAAATTAAAAAAAATTGACAGATGTCAAATGTCAAACTTGATATCGACTAAGTCGACTGGCAGGAATCGAACGCACTTTATATCGAATTTTTCTGACATCTCCTTGTCACTTTTTTCGAGGGTTACATGGTCAAAATGACAGCTGTCAATTTTTTTGACAGGTGCAAAAATTTTAAAAAAATGTTTTACATATATTAAAACTTTTAAAAAACGTAAGTTTGAAAAATTCCAAAAATTAAAAAAAATTGACAGATGTCAAATGTCAAACTTGATACCGACTAAGTCGACTGACAGGAATCGAACGCACTTTATCTCGAATTTTTCTGACATCTCCTTGTCACTTTTTCCGAGGGTAACATAATCAAAATGACAGCTGTCAATTTTTTTGACAGGTGCAAAAATTTTAAAAAAATATTTTACATGTATTAAAACTTTTAAAAAACGTAATTTTGAAAAATTCCAAAAATTAAAAAAAATTGACAGATGTCAAATGTCAAACTTGATATCGACTAAGTCGACTGGCAGGAATCGAACGCACTTTATATCGAATTTTTCTGACATCTCCTTGTCACTTTTTTCGAGGGTTACATGGTCAAAATGACAGCTGTCAATTTTTTTGACAGGTGCAAAAATTTTAAAAAAATATTTTGCATGTATTAAAACTTTTAAAAAACGTAATTTTGAAAAATTCCAAAAAATAAAAAATTTGACAGATGTCAAATGTCAAACTTGATATCGACTAAGTCCACTGGCAGGAATCGAACGCACTTTATATCGAATTTTTCTGACATCTCTTTGTCACTTTTTCCGAGGGTAACATAATCAAAATGACAGCTGTCAATTTTTTTGACAGGTGCAAAAATTTTAAAAAAACATTTTACATATTAAAATTTTTAAAAACCGTAATTTAGAAAAATTAAAAAAAATAAAAAAAATTGACAGTTGTCAAATGTCAAACTTGATATCGACTAAGTCGACTGACAGGAATTGAACGCACTTTATCTGGAATTTTTCTGACATCTCCTTGTCACTTTTTCCGAGGGTAACATAATCAAAATGACAGCTGTCAATTTTTTTGACAGGTGTGAAAATTTAAAAAAAATATTTTACATATATTAAAACTTTTAAAAAATGTAATTTAGAAAAATTCCAAAAATTAAAAAAAATAAAAAATTTGACAGATGTCAAATGTCAAACTTGATATCGACTAAGTCGACTGGCAAGAATCGAACGCACTTTATCTCGAATTTTTCTGACATCTCCTTGTCACTTTTTTCGAGGGTTACATGGTCAAAATGACAGCTGTCAATTTTTTTGACAGGTGCAAAAATTTTAAAAAAATATTTTGCATGTATTAAAACTTTTAAAAAACGTAATTTTGAAAAATTCCAAAAAATAAAAAATTTGACAGATGTCAAATGTCAAACTTGATATCGACTAAGTCCACTGGCAGGAATCGAACGCATTTTATCTCGAATTTTTCTGACATCTCTTTGTCACTTTTTTTGAGGAGTACCTAACATAATCAAAATGACAGCTGTCAATTTTTTTGACAGGTGCAAAAATTTTAAAAAAACATTTTACATATTAAAATTTTTAAAAACCGTAATTTAGAAAAATTAAAAAAAATAAAAAAAATTGACAGTTGTCAAATGTCAAACTTGATATCGACTAAGTCGACTGACAGGAATTGAACGCACTTTATCTGGAATTTTTCTGACATCTCCTTGTCACTTTTTCCGAGGGTAACATAATCAAAATGACAGCTGTCAATTTTTTTGACAGGTGCGAAAATTGAAAAAAAATATTTTGCATGTATTAAAACTTTTAAAAAACGTAATTTTGAAAAATTCCAAAAATTTCAAAAAAAATAAATAAATTGACATATTATGTCAAATGTCAAACTTGATATCAACTAAATCGACTGACAGGAATCGAACGCATTTTATCTCGAATTTTTCTGACATCTCCTTGTCACTTTTTCCGAGGGTAACATAATCAAAATGTCAGCTGTCAATTTTTTTGACAGGTGCAAAAATTTAAAAAAAATATTTTACATATATTAAAACTTTTAAAAAACGAAATTTTGAAAAATTCCAAAAATTTCAAAAAAAATAAATAAATTGACAGATGTCAAATGTCAAACTTGATATCAACTAAATCGACTGGCGGGAATCGAACGCATTTTATCTCGAATTTTTCTGACATCTCCTTGTCACTTTTTCCGAGGATAACATAATCAAAATGACAGCTGTCAATTTTTTTGACAGGTGCAAAAACTTTTAAAAAATATTTTACATATATTAAAATTTTTAAAAAACTTATTTTTGAAAAATTTCAAAAATTAAAAAAAATAAAAAATTTGACAGATGTCAAATGTCAAACTTGATATCGACTAAGTCGACTGACAGCAATTGAACGCACTTTATTTCGAATTTTTCTGACATCTCCTTGTCACTTTTTCCGAGGGTAACATAATCAAAATGACAGCTGTCAATTTTTTTGACAGGTGCGAAAATTGAAAAAAAATATTTTGCATGTATTAAAACTTTTAAAAAACGAAATTTTGAAAAATTGCGAAAATTTCAAAAAAAAATAAATAAATTGACATATTATGTCAAATGTCAAACTTGATATCAACTAAATCGACTGGCGGGAATTGAACGCACTTTATCTCGAATTTTTCTGACATCTCCTTGTCACTTTTTCCGAGGGTAACATAATCAAAATGTCAGCTGTCAATTTTTTTGACAGGTGCAAAAATTTAAAAAAAATATTTTACATATATTAAAACTTTTAAAAAACGTAATTTTGAAAAATTCCAAAAATTAAAAAAAATAAAAAATTTGACAGATGTCAAATGTCAAACTTGATATCGACTAAGTCGACTGGCAGGAATCGAACGCCCTTTATATCGAATTTTTCTGACATCTCCTTGTCACTTTTTCCGAGGATAACATAATCAAAATGACAGCTGTCAATTTTTTTGACAGGTGCAAAAACTTTTAAAAAATATTTTACATATATTAAAATTTTTAAAAAACTTATTTTTGAAAAATTTCAAAAATTAAAAAAAATAAAAAATTTGACAGATGTCAAATGTCAAACTTGATATCGACTAAGTCGACTGACAGCAATTGAACGCACTTTATTTCGAATTTTTCTGACATCTCCTTGTCACTTTTTCCGAGGGTAACATAATCAAAATGACAGCTGTCAATTTTTTTGACAGGTGCGAAAATTAAAAAAAAATATTTTATATATATTAAAACTTTTAAAAAACGTAATTTTGTATAATTCCAAAAATTAAAAAAAATAAAAAAATTTGACAGGTGTCAAATGTCAAACTTGATATCGACCTAGTCGAGTGGTAGGATCGAACGCACTTTATTTCGAATTTTTCTGACATCTCCTTGTCACTTTTTTCGAGGGTTACATAGTCAAAATGACAGCTGTCAATTTTTTTGACAGGTGCAAAAATTAAAAAAAAATATTTTACACATATTAAAACTTTTAAAAAACGTAATTTTGAAAAATTTCAAATATTAAAAAAATAAAAAAATTTGACAGATGTCAAATGTCAAACTTGATATCGACCTAGTCGACTGGTAGGAATCGAACGCACCTTATCTCGAATTTTTCTGACATCTCCTTGTAAATTTTTTCGAGGGTTACATAGTCAAAATGACAGCTGTCAATTTTTTTGACAGGTGCAAAAATTTTTAAAAAATATTTTACATGTATTAAAACTTTTAAAAGACATAATTTTGAAAAATTCCAAAAATTAAAAAAAAATAAAAAATTTGACAGATGTCAAATGTCAAACTTGATATCGACCTAGTCGACTGGTAGGATCGAACGCACTTTATTTCGAATTTTTCTGACATCTCCTTGTCACTTTTTCCGTGGGTAACATAATCAAAATGACAGCTGTCAATTTTTTTGACAGGTGCAAAAATTTAAAAAAAATATTTTACATGTATTAAAACTTTTAAAAGACATAATTTTGAAAAATTCCAAAAATTTAAAAAAAAAAAAAAATTTGACAGATGTCAAATGTCAAACTTGATATCGACCTAGTCGACTGGTAGGATCGAACGAACTTTATTTCGAATTTTTCTGACATCTCCTTGTCACTTTTTCCGTGGGTAACATAATCAAAATGACAGCTGTCAATTTTTTTGACAGGTGCAAAAATTTAAAAAAAATATTTTACATGTATTAAAACTTTTAAAAGACATAATTTTGAAAAATTCCAAAAATTTAAAAAAAAAAAAAAAATTTGACAGATGTCAAATGTCAAACTTGATATCGACCTAGTCGACTGGTAGGATCGAACGCACTTTATTTCGAATTTTTCTGACATCTCCTTGTCACTTTTTCCGTGGGTAACATAATCAAAATGACAGCTGTCAATTTTTTTGACAGGTGCAAAAATTTAAAAAAAATATTTTACATGTATTAAAACTTTTAAAAGACATAATTTTGAAAAATTCCAAAAATTAAAAAAAAAAAAAAAAATTTGACAGACGTCAAATGTCAAACTTGATATCGACCTAGTCGACTGGTAGGATCGAATGCACTTTATTTCGAATTTTTCTGACATCTCCTTGTCACTTTTTCCGTGGGTAACATAATCAAAATGACAGCTGTCAATTTTTTTGACAGGTGCAAAAATTTAAAAAAAATATTTTACATGTATTAAAACTTTTAAAAGACATAATTTTGAAAAATTCCAAAAATTTAAAAAAAAAAAAAAATTTGACAGATGTCAAATGTCAAACTTGATATCGACAAAATGTAATTATTGATTCCAAGTGTAATTTCTGAATGGAAATGAATTTTCTGAGCAATTATGTATTTCTGAGTCAGAAATAATTTCTGGTATAATTTTGGTTTTCAATTGATGAATCTTGTTGACGACTTGGAAAATACATTTGGACTCAGAAATTACATTTTATCTCAAAAATTACATAATAACTCAGAAATTATGTTTTGACTCAGAAATTACATTTTGTCTCTAAAAATTACATATTAACTCAAAAATTACATAGTAACTCAGAAATTACATTTTGACACAAAAAATTACGTAGTACCTCAGATTTGTAGCCTAGTTGCGCTTATGACGCGCTGTCAATTTACTCCTCTCACTGACGTCATCATCAGTACGTTTTTTTTTATATCCTTGATCGCCAAATGCCTGGAATAATCACATTTTGTGTCGTCTACATCGGTACTTATATTGAAAACTTTTGCCATTTCAGAATGGAGCTCTGCATTGGACAGTGGCGAATTCCCGAGCACAAACAAATCTTATGGGGAATTGCAGCAAGAGCTGGCAACAGCGGCCGCGAATTTGGATCAAGCCAGCGCCGGAGTGGTGCACTCGGTCCAAAACCCCGTCCAATTGGCTTCCAGTTCCAAAGACTTTTCCTTGGCTTTCCACGATTTGTTGCAAATCTCCATGGAAATGGCGGGCGAAACAAATGAAACTCAAACCCGCCACCAAATGTTGAGCTCCTTGAAAACAATGTCGACGTCATCAAGCGCCTTGTTGACTACTGCTAAATCGCTCAGTGCCGATCCGACGTTGCCAAATGGAAAAAATCAGCTGGCAACAGCGGCCCGAGCTGTCACCGACAGCATCAATCATTTGGTGAATGTGTGCACGTCGGCAGCGCCCGGTCAAATTGAATGTGACAACGCTGTCAGGAAAATTCAGGCCTTGAGGTATTTGCTGGAAAAGCCTTCTGAGCCAATAAGCGACTTTTCTTACTATGAGTCACTGGATTCTGTCATTGAACGCAGCAAATCGCTCGGGGAGTCGCTGACTGGGATGACAAATACGGCGAGGCTTTCTGAGCACGAAAGGTTTTCTGAGCACATCAAGTTTTTCAGCGGCACGATTTGTTCGCTGGTCGAATCTTCGGCTCAGACTGCTTATTTGGTAAGTAAGATAATTTTGATCGAATGAAAAGGAAAATTTTTGCTCAGAAAAGTTTTTTCGGGTTCTGAGCCCGGTATCGAAAATTTTCGATAGTTCAGGAATCGATTGAATCTGATTCAGAATTTGATTTTCTACAAGATAGAAAAAGTTTCATTCGATTATCTTGACCGGTTCCTGAAATATTGAACTTTGTATCGGTATCGAAAATTTTCGATAGTTTAGAAATTGATAATTTTGATTCAGAATTTGATTCTCTACAAGATGGAAAAAGTTTCATTCGATTATTTTGAGCGGTTCTTGAGATATTAAATTTTGTATCGGTATCGAAAATTTTCGATAGTTCAGGAATCGATTTATTCTGATTCAGATTTTGATTTTCTACAAGATAGAAAAAGTTTCATTCGATTATCTTCAGCGGTTCTCGAGATATCGGGCTTCAAAGTTGTAGCTCAGATTCTGAGCCAGATGTCAGTTTTTGGGTTAAAAATTTTCAATTGAGATTTTTTAAATTAAATTCTGAATCAGAATTATCGATTTCCAAAGTATCGAAAATTTTCAATACCGATACAAAGTTCAATATCTCAGGAACCGCTCAAGATAATCGAATGAAACTTTTTCCATCTTGTAGAGAATCAAATTCTGAATCAGAATTATCGATTTCCAAACTATCGAAAATTTTCGATATTGATACAAACTTCAATATCTCAAGAACCGTTCAAAATTATTGAATGAAACTTTTTCTATCTTGTAGAAAATCAAATTCTGAATCAGAAATATTGATTTCCGAACTATCGAAAATTTTCGATACCGATACAAAATTCAATATTTCAAGAACCGCTCAAGATAATCGAATGAAACTTTTTCCATCTTGTAGAGAATTGAATTCTGAATTAGAACTATCCATTTCCAAACCATCGAAAACTTTCGATACCGGTACAAAAATCAATATCTCAAGAACCGCTCAAGATAATCGAATGAAACTTTTTCCATCTTGTAGAGAATCCAATTTTCAATCAGAATTATCGATTTTCAAACTATCGAAAATTTTCGATACCGATACAAAATTCAATATCTCTAGAACCGCTCAAGATAATTGAACGAAACTTTTTCCATCTTGTAGAGAATCAAATTTTGAATCAGAATTATCGATTTCCAAACTATCGAAAATTTTCGATATTGATACAAACTTGAATATATTGAATGAAACTTTTTCCATCTTGTAGAGAACCAAATTCTGAATCAGAATTATCGAATTCTGAACTATCGAAAATTTTCGATATTAATACAAAGTTCAATATCTCAAAAACCGCTCAAGATAATCGAATGAAACTTTTTCAATCTTGTAGAGAATCAAATTCTGAATCAGAATTATCGATTTCTGAACTATCGAAAATTTTCGATACCGATACAAAATTCAATATCTCAAGAACCGCTCAAAATAATCGAATGAAACTTTTTCCTTCTTGTAGAGAATCAAATTCTGAATCAGAATTATCGATTTCCGAACTATTGAAAATTTTCGATATTGATACAAACTTGAATATCTCAAGAATCGCTAAAGATAATCGAATGAAACTTTTTCCATCTTGTAGAGAATCAAATTCTGAATCAAAACTATCGATTTCCAAATTATCGAAAATTTTCGATACCGATACAAAGTTCAATATCTCAAGAACCGCTCAAGATAATCGAATAAAACTTTTTTCATCCTGTAGAGAATCAAATTTTGAATCAGAATTATCGATTTCCGAACTATCGAAAATTTTCGATATTGATACAAACCTAAATATCTCAAGAACCGTTCAAGATTATTGAATGAAACTTTTTCTATCTTGTAGAGAATCAAATTCTGAATCAGAATTATCGATTTCTGAACTATCGAAAATTTTCGATACCGATAAAAAAATCAATATCTCAAGAACCACTCAAGATAATCGAATGAAACTTTTTTACCTTGTAGAGAATCAAATTTTGAATCAGAATTATCGATTTCCAAACTATCGAAAATTTTCGATATTGATACAAACTTGAATATCTCAAGAACCGTTCAAGATTATCGTATGAAACTTTTTTCATCTTGTAGAGAATCAAATTCTGAATCAGAATTATCGATTTCCAAACTATCGAAAATTTTCGATATTGATACAAACTTGAATATCTCAAGAATCGCTCAAGATAATCGAATGAAACTTTTTCTATCTTGTAGAGAATCAAATTGTGAATCAGAATTATCTATTTCAAAAGTATCGAAAATTTTCGATATCGATACAAACCTCAATATCTCAAGAACCGCTCAAGATAATCGAGTGAAATTTTTTCTATCTTATAGAGAATCAAATTCTGAAACAGAATTATTTATATCCAAACTATCGAAAATTTTCGATACCGATACAAAGTTCAATATCTAGTTCATATCCTAGGTGGTTGAATGCCTGGAATAATCAATCAAGTATGGCGTCATCAACGGTACATTTATTTTTTTAGGTCGGAGTGTCAGACCGCAGTTCGATAGCGGGCAGGCCCGGACTGGTGGACCAAGCGCAATTCGCCAGGGCTTCGCAGGCGATAAAAAGGGGCTGCGAAGCCCTGACAACGTCAGCCAGCCCCCAAAAACAAGTTTTAGAAGCGGCCACTGTAATTGCCAAACACACCAGCGCCCTCTGCAATTCTTGCAGGTAAATAATAACTCTTCTTTTTTTTTGCTCAAGCTGTCAATTGTTGTTTATTGCAGGGTTGCCAGCTCTAAAACGACCAATCCGGTTGCCAAAAGGCAATTCGTGCAAAGTGCCAAGGCGGTTGCCAATTCAACTTCGGCTTTGGTCAAGGAAATTAAGGCCTTAGACAATGATTATAGTGAGGAAAATAGAAAACGGTGCTCAGAAGCCACTAGGCCTTTATTGGAGGCTGTAGAAGACTTGTGCGTCTATGCCAGCTCTTCTGAGTT